TCTCTCTATATATTTATTGTTAAAAATATTATGAAAAAATAAATTTTATTAAATATAAAGATAATAATATTAATATAAAAATTAAAATTAAAATGATAGTTCTTAAAACCTATTCCCTTTATAGATATTAGAGTATAGATATTAGAGGGATAGAAACACTTCTTGCCTCTAATATTTATTCACTAATAAAATATTAGAAAATTGTGTATAATTATTTTAAAAAAATTTAAGATTTTTTACATTTAGAGAAATAACGGTCCACTATAAAATAGAGATCAAAAAATAGTTACATCTCTTATATCTCATTTATAATAATTATAGATTTCTTTTTTTATATTTAAAAGGTATAATAATTCACTAAAAAATAGAGACAAAAATAGTTACATATTTATCTCTTTATAATAAGTATAGATTATTATTGTCACGGATGCGGCGCCACCATTTTATAGTAAGGACAAATATATGCTTAAAGCGATTTATCAAAACTTATTTAAAGTTCTCTATTTAGTCGATGTCTTGTGTGTTGTGTCCATTGTGGCAATATATTAATGGGATATTTCCTGAATAATGCCTTTATTGGGCTTTTGTGATTCATTGTTATGGGCTTTTCTAGGCAGAAGAATAGTGGGCCTGACTTCCAACATGGATCACCGTAGGGCCCTTTCTTTTTGCACCCTCTTTTTTTCACACTATTTTTTTAGTTTCTTTATATTCCAAAAATTCCCCTTTCACTCTCACAGTCAAGCCCACTTACTTCTCACCTCCTTCCCTCCCCTGCAACCCCACTTACATTAGGCTTTAGTCACCTGTGCCTTTAAGTAAGCCTTACAAAATCTTTTAGGGTGTTTGCTTTTTCATTCCTGGAACATAAATTGACATGGAAACAAAAGCAACAAATTGTTACTTACTAAATATAACTTTAGAACGAGTGCCAATGGATACACAAACATGCTCTTAAACTTCAGTCAACAATGCATTTAAGTTAGCCTTATATTTTGAAGATGCTTCGTTTAATACAAAGCTAATTGGTGAAGGTAGGTTGTACGTTCAATTAGGATCTATGTTCAGTGTAGCACCAATCATTTGTTACTATAAGATAAAACTAAGTCAGATTATAATAAGCATATGGGATGAGCTGTCAGTTTGTTACGTCTGTTAGGGAATTGATTATGGGAATATTCAGGATTTTGGGTAGTCATATAAGGATGGGAAAATAAATAAAAGTGGGGAAGATTTTATTTGGTTGGACCCTTGGTGGTGGATAATTTCTCTGAGGAGCCATAGGCATTGCGCATTGTATGCAGTTTTCATTACCTTTCATATCAATAGTGTTCAGATAATTGTTGGAGTAATTTTCTGGTTTCCTAACAGGCATATGCAAGGAGCAAACAGTGAATATTAAAACACAAGAAACCAACCAACCCGCATAGCAATGATTCTGATGGAGTATGGGAACAGACATAATTGAGTAAAGGTTGGAAATTTCAATATGTACACTATGGAAGTCATCTCTACTTCCTAGGTTAATTCTGTTAAATGTTAATTGAATTCTGACAAAAATAATTGTTCAAGTTCATGTTGATTTCCTTCACAAATCATAATAACATGAATATAGCACACCAAAGAATTATAGGATGTATGAATAAAACCGATCTTCACGATCCATGTATGAAAGCATGGCCAAAATCAATTCCAAAGTTTGTATAACTAACTGAGTTCATGATCGTTCAAGAAGTACTTCAGTCTCATTTGACATAAAAATGACCTTAGCATATGCTCAAGAAATGAATAAATAAATGAACCTCATGCTCTCCCTGTCACTGAATTATTTAAAGAACTCATTGATCTATAAAGCACAAAAACAGAGTTCCATATGACACCAACACCACCAATCAAAAACAACAGAAGCCAGTCAATTACGATATAAATATATATTTTTGATTCCAAAAGTTTCAACAATCGCACATGTCACCTCTTGTAAATCAAGAGTTTCTCCCTATACACCATTTCGACAAATCACACATTTCACCTCTTCTAAATCAAGTTAAAGAAAATTCTTATACAACAAATCGGTACGTAACATATCTGCCAGCAGTTTCACTTGGCCGGATTATCTTGACAACTTGTCCACGCTTCAGTCCATAATACCTTGCAACAGGATCTGTCACCTGAATCCTAGGTAGCTGAAATTGAGAACCACCCCATAAAAATTAAAAATAAAGCACCGTATCAGTATCCACAGAAATACGTAGGACAATATCAGAATTGCAACCCAAAATAAATACAGAAAATTAAGATTAACTACAATATTTTTACACAAAAATGAAAAGAGTTCAATTTTAATGCATTATAATTAATCAACTGAAAATTAGAAATCACCCTTAAAATAGCTTCTAAATTAATTATTACAAAAATTAATAGTCATTTGCACATAACCATCAAATGACAATGTAAAAAATATATGAAATGTCGGTGTATTCTAATTAAATTCAAATAAAAATTTGAGTAATCCACCAAATGAATTTCCGAAAATAAAAATGTCATCTCAGATAATTACCAAATTTCAGTACCCTAAATTATTTACATTACTTCAGAAACACCAAGGGACTGTTAACTAATTTCAAAAGATGAATGGATAACCTTCTCCATAAATGCACACAAAACAATAAACAAAGACGAAAAAAATTGAAATCCATAAACTAAAATTAGCTATTTCAGAGAAGCTAACACAGAGACCTTCCAGTTTTATACATAATCTGTTAATGCGTCGTTGAGAGCTTATAAGCTGGTATCCAAAAAACAGATTCATAAGCAAACTTCAGCTTCAGAAACTCATTTTATACATTGCAAACCCTAACCGGTATCCTACATTGAGATTTTCCACCAAATGAGGACAGTTACCTGAGTTTCTTTAACAGTGTATCTCTCAAGCAAGGTTTTCTTCTCCGCGTCGGTGAGAACCTGGTGTTCGGGGACAAGCACGTGCTCTTTAATGTTCACCAGCAGTTCCGCCTCCTGAAATTTCACAACCATTGACTCCGTCAGAACAATCACATTCACGCAGCACAGAACCAAAGCAATGAAATAAAATAAAATAAAATAGAATGGAAAGCGACCTGAAAAACCTCCAAGTGAAATCTGGAAGAGATTTCGCTGATGCAGGTTCTAGCGAAGGGAGTGAGGTTGGTCTGAAGAACGAGGATGGCTCTGTAGACGTTCTCGGAGTTCATGCGGTTGGTGTAGGTCTTCATGGTTTTGACGCCGACCTTGACCTCCTCCGGGAAGAAGACGTAGATCTGGTCGCCGGAGTTGTCCTTCTTGGACTTGTTGATGACGAGATCCTCGCGCTTCATGTTTTCGCCGTACTTTGACTTGAAGTCGTGCTTGGACATGTTGATCTCGAAGTCCCCCACCAGGTACCCTCTGTCCCTCAGCATCTGCATCACCGTCTTCCTTATGCGGTACAGCCTCCCGATTTCTTCCTCCAGAAGCACCATTCTTTCGCCACCGCCACACCACTATTCCTTTCTTCCCACTCTTTTTAGCCCTAGCGTCCTTTTATATGCCTACTTGGAATTTGGAAACGCACTCTACCCTCCTTCAACTCTTTTTCAAATCAAATATTACATTATATTTACAAGATAAATCTTATCCAATTATTAGAGATTATGTATAATTATTATTAAAGATAAATATAGACACCAACTGAATAAATTCTTTTATTCTTAGTATATATTATATTTTATTAATATTATATATATATAATAGATTTAGATAACATTAATCATTACTGAATTTTGAATTTTGAATGATATGTGTCACATTTATAGGAATAACTAACTATAACATTTTTTAACTAAATCTATCATTAACGTTGTAATAAATGATTTAAGATTGAATTGTAAATTATAAAATAAAAAATATATATTAGAGGATATTATGAAATAAATAAATACAAATATTATAGTAAAATATGGTGACAGACGTAAAGCGTGGACAAGTATCAAGATAATCCTCCATTATCTCCCTTTTGAGAAATAATAATAAATAAAAAAAATTAACAATCATATATTGTAAGACATTCCACGTAAGAAAAAATAGTGTTAGAAACACATTAAGATGTCAAAAGTTAAAGAATATCAACATTCATTTTGAATTCAAGTTGGTAAAGACACATTCTTGATAAGTAAATAGCAAGGAGACGAGATGACGCTAATAATGAAAGATACGTTAAAGAAAAATAGTGTAATAGCGCCTAATATTGAATATTGTTGTATACAAAATTTAAGCTTCACTTGATTAAAAATTCTAAAGTTTGTAATTAACTTATTAACAACTAAATATTGATTAGTTGTTTATTTTTTTTTTTTTTTTTGAAAAACTGGTATTTTAGTCTCCACAATATAAATAATTATTTTTATATGATTAACTTTCATAATAAAAATATATTATAATATAAACATGATATTATAATATAAATAATCATACAATATTATTTTGAACTATTCAAAATTTTAATTAAACAAATAATTAAATTTAATTTAGAGATAAACATGATATAGAAAGAAGCCAAATTAAAAAAAGTATATAAATAAAGATAAAAAAATGATATATTTTGGTTAATTATAGGGATAGTATGTAAATATATATATATATATATATATATATATATATATATTAAAATAAGATAAAATATCTAATTGAGAGAGATACAGATAAAGTGATAAGAGGGTTAACCCAAGTATAAAGCCGTCCAAATCCTAGTTTTAGGCTCCAACAAATATTTTAGGTCAATCTTATGTAAAATAGGCTCCCAAAATGTTTTTTTTACCAATAGAACGTAATAAATTAATTATATTAATACTAACTTTTGTTTGTTGGTCATTATTTAAGTCTAACTTTGGTTCATAATTTTATATTTGATCATAGTATTGTAATTTTTTTGCTAAAAGTTTTTTTTTTAAAATTTTTTATGGGTGACCGTTAAACTAGAGTACTAGACCCACTTTCCTATTAGTTTATCTTCCCCTACTAAATCAGACCCAAATTTTTAAATGTTATTTATCCACTTTCTTATTAATTATTCTTCTCCCACTAAATTAATTCCAAAATTATGAACGTGATTGACTAAACTTACTTTATTCTTCATCTTCTCTCCCTACCTCTTTCTAGTGTCTTTTCTCAATCTCTATTGATTATAATAACTTATTAAGTGATTTTGAATCTCAAAAGGCTCAAAAAATAAATTTAAAATAAATTATTGTTATTAATTTAAAAAATGTTTAATTTTAAAATTCGCTTTAGGCCTTAAAATATGTTGGATCAGCTCTAAGTGATAGTTTCACCTTTTGAATTATGTATTTTAAATTATTAAATTAAATACCATTAAAAAAAAAGTTTACCGATGTAGACATTATTGTTTGTAATATACTAAATTTAAACTTTGTTAATGCTACTTTTATTTTGCACTTTTTCATGTTTTTCAATATATAAATTAACGTGTTTGCTTTACACATCGCTTATTTCATAAATTAATCATAAAGGTTTATTCTTTTAAGAGCTTTTACCTTAATAAATTAAATATATATTATATTGTTTACTTACTTATAAAACGTGCAAAGCAGTCGAGTCACTCGTACAAAACCACGTATATCGTATTAGTTGACAAAAAGGATAAATTTTTAGGCCACGTGGATTTTCCATATAATTCATTTAGAGCATCTCCAGTAGAAGTTGCTTATAAACAAGTTAACTGAAGATGCTCTTAGAATATTGCACTAGTATTTTTTGGCGATTTTAAAATTAATCTTATCATTGAATGAGTTTATACATTAGTCTAAATTTCATTTGTGATTAAACTACGATGAAATCGATATTAATAAAATAATAATATATAAAATAATATTAAGTAAATATAATATAATTTCATGACACTAAAAAAATTAAATAAATCATCATTTATAAATTTTTTAAAGTCTAAAATAAATATAATTTAATATTTAAGTAAAAAATTTAATGAAACAAAACAATGTCCAATTTTTATATTTAGAATACAAAATGTCAAATCAATATAAAAAACTAAGATATTATATCTTAGTTTTTTCTTATTAATATAAGTGATTAAAATTATATTTTTATAAGAAAAGCATTAAAAATAATTGTTACATAATTTATTTAGATATATTATTATTAAAAAATTAAATAAAGTTTTACATTTAATATATACATGTTTAAATAGGATTGATTCAAATTAATTTTCTATACCGGTTTGACTAATTTTGAAATAATTTGATCAATTCTTTGCTTGTTCAATTCATTTACAAAATATTTTAAATTTTAGTAGTAGTTGGATTGGACATCCGACCGATCGATACGATTCGATAACAATGATATTTTGAAAAGATGTTAGTGTCATTATAATATTCAACGTAAAGACATAATTTATTCAAAATATAATAAAAATAATTATATGACATTAAAAATGTTAGTTTAGTAACATTAAAAATGTAGTCGATATTTTTTGTCATAACAACTCGATCAAACATTTCAAAAGTCCAAATTAATAAAATATTAACAAAAATATCTTAATTTATAAAGGTGTAAAAAATTGTTTGATTCAACAAACTAATTAAATGATTTAATTAATGGAGCCAAACTTAAAAAAAAAATGACTTAAAAAATAATTAATTCAATTTGACTTAATGCATCAATTAAATCACTAATTTTTTAGAGTTGATTTAGTCTAACATTTTTTATTAAGTATAATTTAATAGATAAAAAAGTGAAAGAAAGTCACAAAAATAAATAATCCATAAAAAAATTTCATCGTGCCAAATTAACCCACATATACATTTCAACTTGTAGGGTTTACCAAATCATTTTACTACTAAACTAATTTAGTCCATTAAACTTTTATAGAACAACAATAATAACAATACATCAAATCGTTGATTCAATTTATGCACCAAAAGAAAAAGAGGGCATTATGCTTGACAATGAAACTCACTAACAATTTGTAAAAGGTCAAAACTTAGATATATTAACATATATATTGTTTGTATTAATTTAATCAAAATTAAAATTTTATTTTAGTAATATGTATAAATATATGTTACTAAGATTTATATTAAATATAAATGTATATTATCAAAATAAATATTTATTAGAAAACAATACTAACAAAATAACAATATATAATTTCGTACATAAATTAAATTCTGTCTTCATATAATCTGATGAGAAAGAATTAAAATAAAGAAAAAAACTAATGTTATATTGCCATTTTGACTAATAATTTCAAAATTATATATATATATATATATATATATATATATATATATAATAACATATAATAAAGTTTAATGACCGTGTATCAATGTAAAATGATTTTACATTATTAAAGGATCAAGATTTCTATCAATTTTTTTTAGATGATTATTGTAAAACTTATAATATATTATGAGTTAATTATCTATACATTGTCAGTGTAAATTTTTTTTACAACAGGCAGTTAATCAGAGTCGTTAATAGTATTTTTTCATCTATTCATTTAATTAAATTAAAAAAAAAGTACTAGTAACGACTCTAATTGACTGCTAGTATAAAAAACTTTACACTGACAATATATAGATGATTAACTCATATATTATATATAACTTTTCTTGACAAAAATAATCATAATGGAATTAGATCTAACTCATTATATTTCTATTGTTCTAATCTTTCTTTCTTAATTATTAGGCTAAGTCAGGAAAAAAGAATTTGATTTAGAAACAAAATAAATAAATTCATTTATAAATAATTTTATAAAATATTTGAATCAGTAAGTATATTTATGTAAAAATAAAACAATCAATATTATGACAAAAATAACTCAAGAATTCAATTGAAAATAATTTATTCAATTCATATCGATTAAATACAATATTAATTAATTTTATATTTAGTCACAATTTTTAAATATTTAATGGTTGTGATTAATTATTAAAAATATGTGTGAGGTAATTTTTTTAACATCTGAAATATATAATGCTGCATTAAGAAGTATATATAATATTACTTTTTATTTAATCTATACTAATATATAAAAGGATATTAATTATTTTTTATTTTTATTTTTATATGTATATTTTTTTTAATAATTATCTTTTTCTTATAAGTAACTTCTTCCTCTTATATTTTTAATTTATTTTTTCTTTTAATAGACGAAGAATACTTCTTTTTCCTAGTTTATTATAATTACTATATGCAGCGTGTTGCTAAATTATGAAAGACCTTCATTTTTATCTGCGAATTAATTAATTATCGAATATTTTAGACACGGGGTTATGGTGATGGCCCCCATCACCGGGAAACAGGTAACTGTGTAGTGTACTTCGCATTTTGCAAAACCAAACACCGTCTCGATGGCGGCGTCGCGAATCGTAGCCCATCCTCCGTCCTATCTCAGCCGTCAATCTCCGCCGTCGGACGCCGTGCCGTCCCTCAACCTCACACTTCACCCAAAACGGTACCGTAACCTCGGCCGACGTCGTTTCCAGAGATCCACTCGCTCTTCCTCGTACCTTTTATTAATCCACGCTTTCCCCTTTCCGTTTTCGTTGTTGCTATTATTATTATCGATGCCTTTTGCGATTCATTTTTCAGGGCCTTTGACATCGACTCAGTTATCTGCTTCAGTTTCCGATGGTTCTCGGCTTCGTGTTGCGTATCAGGTGTTTGCTTGTTGCATTGCATGTTCTGATTGTTGTCTATTTCCCGTCTATTTTGATTAGTGGAATATAATTCCTTTGTTTTTATTTTATTTTATTTATTTATTATGTATCACTCTGTATGTAAGCACAATTATCAAAATAGTGATCAAATAGATAACAGATCTTGTTTTAAAAGAATTATTTGAATATTATCCTGAGCTTATTTGATTACCTGTGTCAGTGCTCCTGCAAGCATTACTTTCTTCACACATTTGCTTTGTTTTTCCATTTATTCATCCCGCGAAAGAGTGATAGGAGCTAATTATATATGGAATTTAAATTTCATGACATGTTAGAGTAAATTTTTACACCTGACATATTGGATGAGAGTGTAAATTAGGGCGTTGTAATTGAATTTTATATATTGTATGGCTAAATACTGCACTTTCAGGGGGTTCGCGGTGCTTACAGCGAGTCAGCAGCACAGAAGGCCTATCCAAATTGTGAAGCTGTGCCTTGTGAACAGTTTGACACTGCTTTTGAGGTAAAGTTTCGCTGCCCTTTTCTCCTAATAACGCTGAAGATTAAGTGCCTGTTTGGATTGGCGGCATTGATCCACGATTTCATGAATTTGACGCAAAAGCAAGTAATATTAACTTATTGTTTTCACGTTTTTTACGTGAGTTAAGAGTTCTGAACGTGAAACCAAACATACACTAAGATTCATCACTAGTTCAATTGGGAATTCATCATAGCAACATATTTTTTGCGATGAAAGTTATTTAGTACTACACGTTAACACAAGTTTGGGTCTTGTCTTAAATGGAGGAGTTAACTTAAAAATTGTGAATTGTGATTTAAAAATATCAAATATCCTCCCCATCACAATCCTCAAGGGCATATGATGAAGATTGGACAATCCATTTTCATTTTGAGGGTCATTACCATGTCATGCAAAGTCTTGTTGGTAATATCACACACATCAAAATGGAGCTAGAAATTAGTGCAGATCAGGAAATTCACAATCCACTAGGAAATATTTAACTAATTACATATATAATACAAATAAAATTAGTATAAAAAATATTCCTTTCATCATTTCAAGCACTAATATTTGAAACTAAGAAACAAATTAAGAATATTCATTTTTATAATTAATAGAGAAAACAGGAAATGAAAATAGAAGTGTTTTCCCATACACAAAAATCGATCTTTAAGTTGTAAATGTGAATATTCATGAAAACTTTTCTATTTAACAGAGTGACAAAACCTAAGAAAATCCAATCTCCTGTTATACAAACTAGGAAAAGACATTATCTAATACTTTAGAGTGCATACAATGAATTTGTCCAAACTAGTGGTTGAAGGATAAGAAAAAGTAGAAAGGTCTTTTATCTCATTGTGTAGAGGTGTGTAGTATTGGAAGAAATAGATGATCAAGTACTGTACCAGTGTCTGTATTGCCTATTTGCTTTCAATGAAAAGTGAAGGGATTGTGATATGGGAGAAAGAAAAGTCTGGGGACGAATGAAAAACTAAGGAATGAAAGAGTAGGGAAGTCTTAAGGGTTTGGGTGGGATTGTTGAATGAGTGTTATTTATACATTCTACTAAAAGGTCACTCAAAATCCACCATATAACATAATCCATCAAAATCTATATGTTTTTTGAATGTCATAGGACTTTTTGTAAGTTGCAAAAAGTCTCAATTGGATGCCACATTGCCACTAAATTTTGACACACTATTTAAAAATTCTTAATAATCTTGATTAAATACCCAGGGACATAGTTATATAATTTAAAAGTCTTGATTAAATATCATAAAACTTTTTTATCAAAAAAAGTTTTTTAAAAGCCCAATTCAATACACCCTGAGTTTTTTTCAGTTTCCCTTGTTTTCTTTATGGATTTTCATGTTAATCTTGATTGATTTTTGTTGTACTGTACTACTGGTTCTTGTCTGGACAAATTTAACGTATTATTTGTTATTGTTACTCTAATCACTAAAATTCAAAATCACAGGTGCTAGTTCTAGTCTTATTTTATGATTGTTGTTTTCTTACTGGGGTTACCCTTTTTTCATAGACGTTTTCCAAGAGGGTTAATTATTACTGTCTCTACTCTCTAGTCTCTTTATTTACCTCATTTTTGGTTTCCCATGCTAGGCTGTTGAAAGGTGGCTTGTGGATAGAGCAGTTTTGCCAATTGAGAATTCTTTAGGAGGGAGCATCCATAGAAATTATGATCTTTTACTCCGGCACAGTTTACATATAGTAGGAGAAGTAAAATATGCAGTCCGTCACTGTTTGATGGCCAACCATGGTGTTAAACTTGAGGATTTGAAGCGGGTTCTAAGTCACCCACAGGTGTGACTCTAACATTTTAAGCCTTACCTTTTCATGAATCACAAACATATCCTAGACTGACACTTTTTCAGGCTCTTGCTCAATGTGAGAACACACTAACAAAATTCGGATTGGTGCGAGAAGCAGTTGATGACACAGCTGGTGCTGCTAAGGTTAGTATAGAATTATTGAAAGCTATTTAGCTGTTATCATTTTAGGTGTTTCTGTTGACTAATGAATAATGATCATGCTTAAATTTTTAAGGTACAATGATGCTTCTTTCCTTTACCCAATTTTTGTGGTCAGGATCATTTGAACCTTACCCACTTTTTTGGGTTAAGAATTATGCTTCTTTCCTTAAGATTTCACTTTTCAGAGCATTTATATATTTAATTTATGTAAGTAGGTCATCCTTGGTCAAATTCTGACCTGCTTGGAAAATTAGCATATTCTTATCATCTTGTGAAGATATGGTTAGATATTGCACCTTGGGTTATAGGATTTTTATTCAATTTTTACTGGTACTGTTGATTTGTTTTTCATTATCACTTATGCTAACATAGTTACAAATTATAGCATGTCGCCTTCCACAAACTACAAGATGCAGGAGCAGTTGCTAGTTCTGCTGCTGCAAAGATCTATGGCTTGAATATACTTGCTCAGGACATTCAGGTATGGGTCCATGGCGTGAGTGATCTAACTTATGTGGTTGGCAGTTCTGGTTCATGGTAGGTTTGATCACCAATGGATTTGCATTTGCAGGATGATAGTGATAATATCACCCGATTTTTAATGCTAGCACGAGAACCTATAATTCCGGGCACTGATAGGCCATTTAAGGTACTCAACTAATAAATAGATGGAGTTATTGGATGTAATACATCTCATGTCTCAGACTCCCCCATTTATTGGTCTATGCTTTTATCAATGTTGAATATTTCCATTAATTGTGGTGTTGATTTCTCAGACAAGCATAGTGTTTTCTTTAGAAGAGGGTCCAGGGATACTTTTCAAGGCCCTTGCTGTTTTTGCTTTGCGTCAGATTAACCTAACAAAGGTTTGTTGTCTTCCCTAGCATCACCTGTTATATCTTTTGAGGAAGTGACATTGAAAGCGTGCTTTGTAGGCATTC